TGCATCTCTGGAGGATGGACGGCAGAAGCATGCTCACTTGGAGGAAGAGCAGGATATGGTGAAGCAGAGGAGACAAGGGGCCAGACAGCTGTGAGGTGAACACGGGTCCTGCCACGTACCAGCCTTGTGGTCTTAAGGAGGTCACCAACCCTGCTCTAAGTCCTGATCTCCTCATCTGCGAAATGGACACAATACCACCTAGCCCATGAGGTGGTCCTAAGGCTGCTTGTGGGGATTAAGTGAGGGAATCTAGTACAATACCCAGTACATGATAAACCTCCAAAAAACAGAATTAGCATGACATCTGATAAATGTTGACAATGATTGCACAAATACACGGTGAACCAGAATTTAAGTATTTATTTTGAGTGTTAAAACTAGATATATAAAAAGTTATATAGCTAATAAAAATGTTAAAATAAAGACACTTAGAGAAAAAATGTCAATTACATCTTACTTTGAAGACAGATTCTTTATTGGCTGAATGTACTGTACTAGATACTTAAAATAACACAAGCATTCAGATTGCAATTTTGTAGTTTAGTTCATAGTCATGTTAGACACAATGGTTAACACACTCAGGAGAGACAATATTCTGCATATTTCTTAACAGCTTTATCAAGCACATTTGTAAAAGATTAATCTTTCACTTCTAGTTACTATAATTTCCCTGCTATACACTAAATGAACAAACACAACATTTCCTTATTTCAAATAATGGGTACTGTATATGGCTATACTGTGCTCTAAAATTACTTATAATAATGAAAACATTAATTTCAGCAATTAAAAAAGCGGGTTCTATGGAAAACTTTGAAAACCCTCACAAGTAGACTACAAAGAGAGAATTACTGTCTTCAGAAGCCAATGGTATGATGGAGTTAGATGGGGGAGGGTGACGTGGAGAGAGGTCACAGTGACTGGAACCTGTCCCATGCCTGTCAGGAGTCAGTGCAGGACAGACGTGCACTGGCTGATCTACAGCTCGCTCTGCCTGAGGACCAAGGAGTGCCCCGAGTCTCCAGAAATCACGGATGGTGCCAGTGCAGCATTCTTCCAGCTCCCGAGCAAGACACCTCAAAGGGAAAGAGGCGGCAGGAGAAGCAGAGTGCTCAAGGGCAGGAGCAGACAGCACCGGGCAGGAGCGCTGGCTGTTCCCCAGGCCTGGCTGGCACTGTAAGGGACACTGGAGACTGCGGCCACCCCAGCAGTGCCTGGGAGCACAGGGCTGCATCCAGACTACACACAGTCAATCTTCAGGAATGTGAAGTGACACCAGCCAAACAAAGAGTGAGTGCGAACAGAAAAAACTACACCGAGAAGGTGCGGAAAATAAAAGTCAGACAGAAAAACGCAAAGTTAATTCATGGACATCTGGACCAACAATAATCCACCCCAATCACAACATTTTTTAAATGAGATCACAGATTTGTTTAAAAACACACTTGAACTAGGTGACTTAGGGTTGTTTGTATGAAAAGGTTTTTAAGTACAGTTTAGGACAGTTAAAGCTCCAAAGATGTCTAAACCTAACTTTGCACTCTCTTATCTGTCTCTCCATGAGTCTTGTCAGCTGCTGACACTAGACTGGAAAAGGAGAGACACTGAGAAATGTCTCAGAAGACACCAGTGCCGCCTCAGAAGACTCCCCACAGCACTCACCAGGCAACACTGAGCTAAGAAAAAATGTGTTTTAAGACATATGTTAAATAGTCACACAGGACCTAATGAAAAACAAGTACTGCTTGGGCATTTCAAATGGAGGTCATTTGGGCTGAAATAAAAATATACCAACATCTTTCAAAGCTACCAAGCTGGGGGAAAAAAGAGAGAGAGAAATTGGGAACCCAGTGATTTATATACCAAATACCTTTAGGGCACTTAAGAGAGTGAACAGTTTCATTACTTGTTATCTTTCTGGACTGCCCTTATTTTGCAGTTATCTATGTCTTCATCGTGGTTGAGGGAACGGCCTGGAAGCAGGTGAGCTGCAAGTGCATACTGCTCTTGAACTTGTTCAGAAGCTCTTCCAGCAGCCTGCAGGGAGACAACACTATTTTACAGCCTGACAGAATGAGGGCTGCCTGACAACCTCACAAGCCAGCCAGGCGAGCCAGTGCCCAGCTCTGCCCTGCTCCTGCTACTGTCAGCGGCAGCTGAAGAAGTTACTATCTGTGGGTTCTTAACTCAACATTTATATACATATTTATGTTTATATAAAAAAATCTCCTTCCTGTCCCCCTCCCCTAGATTAGATTCCTCTCTAAAACAGACTAATATTGGGGCCTATCCTTTTTCTTAAATTTACTTTTTTAAACTTTTTTTTCACTTAAATTTCCCATCCCCCAGCAACCACTGGCTATTTTCTGACCCTCCAACTTTGCATTTTGTCTTTAACAAACATTGGAGAGTTGAAAGCAGCAAGACAAGCACAGAGGAAGCGGGTTTGATTCTAACTCCACTGGGCAGGTCACTGTGCTGCTTGATATCGCAACTGGTTTCCCCAACTGATATGTTTATATAATTTTGAAGCTAGAAGGGATCCTACAGTTCATTTGGTTCAGATGAAGCAACCAGGACTGGGTTTAATGGTGCTGAGGCCAGGAGGTTACGTCATGGGCTCTCAATGCTCAATATTAGAGCACTATCCCTACAGCAAATCTAAAATACAGTCCTGACCTGGGACTGTTTCAGGCATCAGTTATTCTCGACTCCCAAACACACTAGCCTCTTGAGCTATGTTCCGCATACTAAAAATGACAGAGATTGTCTCCATCTTTTATCGTAATTATTTTAAAGAAATGAGCAGGG